CCAGAGAGACAGAAGCAATAGCCCAGGCTGGAGACCCGGGAAGAGCTGACTCTGAAGCTCCAGTCCAAGGGCAAGCTCCTGGCAAGACTCCTGCCTTTCTCCTCTTGTGCTCCTCAACTGGCTGGCTGGAGCCCCTGCAGGGTGCAGGCCAATCTCTTGACTCAAACCTGTGGTTGTAAATGCCAGTCGCCTCTAGAAATCCCTTCCCAGAAGCCTCTAGAATGTTTGGACAAATATCTGGGTATCATGGCCTAGCGAAGTTCGGGATGCAAAAGAAGTCACCTAGGAACCCTCTGGGTTCTTCGAGGCTGATCACCAAACAAGCATCAAACAGGTTGATAAAAGTCAGCCACGACGTTTAGTAGCAACGTGCCTGTTGGCCAGGGTGCTTCCTGGGGAGGCTCGGTAGCGAACGGGATTCAGATGGGATTCTCTGAAAGAGGGAGGGGTCGGGCCTTCCCGTGGGCCTCACGCAGCCGTCCACTTGCTAAGCCAGTGGCGCGTGTGACGGTCAGTATAGCAGCGGCCCACCTGGGTGCAAGTGGCCACTCACCTGCTCTCCGGATGGACACCCAGAGGCCTGCTTATGTCTTTGTCTCTCATTCAGAACCGAGACAGCCAAGTCCAGGACTATCTCAACTGGGGCTGCAGTGAATTAGCTGAAGTTCTGGAGAAATACGCTGGAATTCTGCAGGTGGTTCACTGCCAGGTGCGTGAGCACAGGTGAACCTGGCCCCGCAGGGAAAAGGTCCCGTTGCCCTTGGGCCATGCTTGCCTGCCATCCACTGACTTGCCGAGCAAATACATTTGCAGTATCAGTCAGAACAGGGCCGGGGCGGGAGCATGTTGCCTCTCCTTGCTGATGTAAGTTGTGCTCTGAACCCAGAAGACAGACCGCCAGGAAGTGGTGGGGTCTGGATGGCTTTCACTGGGAACTTCACACGAGTCGCTTACAAGCATGACCCGAGTGCCTGCTGCCTGCCAGCTCGTGTCTGGAGAGCAGGGCAGAGGCTAGACAAAGTGGGGGCTCCGAACTACATGATCTGGGGAGTCTCCACTTCAGGCGCCTGCAGGATTTTTCTTCGCCGGTGACGAGGACAGCATCAGCGTCACAAGTGTCCTTGAGGCTCTGCTGTTACAGGGCTGCCCAGTTACACTTCTGTTTCACAAACCTGTAGAAATGTTGCCTGCAGTTCTGCACGAAATGGTCTTTGTTTTACCATAGGGGCGGTCTTTCCGGTTGGGCTGGGTGGGCCCACCGTGGGAGTAGTGAGAGCTGGAGCAAAGAACGCTGTCCTGGGAACATTTGGGAGTAGTTGCTGTTTTAACAATCTGCACATTACTCACTTGGCTGAAACAAAATTCCACATAGAAGTAAAATTAATCATTTGAATGACTTCTAGATATAGGCCACGCTTCTAAATATTCTTCTAAGAAAGAATATTAAGATGTCATTCTTCCACAATGAATATGACCAATTAGGATACAGCTCTTCAATGGGACAAAATTAATTTAAAGTTCATACAGAAGAAATCATGTCCTGGAATAGCCCAGAAAAGTGATGGGAAGAGCAGGGGACATTGCCTTCTCAATGTTAAATATTATTTTAAAACTATGTAATGAGAACAAAATTTTACACAGGAATAAATCAGAGGAGTAGACTAGAAAGTCTTGAAATAGGGCCAAGTTTATTTGGGAAACTCCATAGACGACAAACTGGCCTTTCATCTCGGCATGAATAGGTGGCTTATTTGCTGAATCATGTTGACATAATTGGCAACTCAACTGGAAGAAAATGAAGTTAGATCTCTGCTTGACCTTCCTCTTCCACCCCCTGCAAACCCCCCCCCCCCATATACACACTCCATTTGGATTACATTTCTCAGTACCAAGCTAATACATATAGAAAACTGGAAGAAAATTAGGAAAACATCCATATTTTTGAGAGACGAAGACAGTCTTCAGTAAGACAGGAGGCCTAGAACGTGTAAAAGAAAAGTTAAACAACTTTCACTACATGCACATTTCTAAAAAGCCTCGGAGACACAACTACCCCCAATCAGATGACTTTGTTAAAGAGCACCTGTCGGTTGCTAGAAATGGATGAATAACCCAATAAAATGAGTAAAGAACAGGGACAGGCAAGTCATATCAGAGGAAACTTTGTTTGAAAATGATAAACTTCCGAAGAGGTGGAGGTGGCATTAGACATGTTAACCACCCAGACTGGTAAAAGTGTTCAAAAGCTAACAATTTCCGGGCAGCGGGTTACAGCACAGCACTAAGAAGCTTAAGCCACTTCCGCATGAGTTCGATCCCCGCCTGCCCTGGAGGTGACCACATGGCACAGCAGACCTCTCCTGACCTGCCCGCTGCTCCCCTCAGCAGTGTGCTTCGTCAATCTGCCTGTTCTGCTCCCCACTCTGTGTGTGGTGAAGCCTCTCACCATCCCTGCACCTCTGGCCTATACCCCAGTTCTGTGTGCATAAATAAATAAAATCTTAAAAAAAAAAAAAGCTAACAATTTCTAGCCTGATGATCTCATGGGAAATGTGGGGTAGGTGTTCATGCAACACCTACTAATAAATGCAGTTTATTTCAGCATTAAGACCACGTGTGTCCTTTTATACCTCACTCCCAGCCTGAGAATCTACCTGGCAGCATAAAACACCACCATGTTCAGTCAGGTGCATGCCAAAGGTGTCAGCTGTGGAAGAGAAGGCAGCATCAGAGGTGGCTGGGTAGAATGTGACTGAATATGAGGGCTAGATCTGTCTCTGCACTGACTTGGAAGGATGTCTGGAGTGTTTTATTGAGAGGAAGCGAGCAGACCTCCCTGGCGGCGCAGGGGTTAAATCTCGGCGCTATCAAGCTACTGCGGCCGCTGCAGCCTGAGTTCGATCCCGGCCAGGGAGTGACCCACAGGGCGCAGCAAGATGTTCTGTGCCTACACTCCAGTTCTTGTATGCATAAATGGATAAACATTACGCAGAGAGCAAGGCGAATGCGATTTTACCTTTATTTTTAAGGAGAAAGGACAGCGCAGAACCCCTTCCACACGTCGCAGAGTCTGGACACTCACATACATGAGCATGGCACGTCCTGAGCACCTCGGGTATACGCAGCAGCCTGTTGCCTTAGAGGTACGAGACTTGGAGCAGAAGTGCTCAGGGACGCCGGTCACCCCCTCAACAGGGACGGTCTCCCTCAATCTGTAAGACTGCTGCCAGGCTCTCCGTGTCTTGCTGAGGTCCCAGCACACCCCAACACGCCCCGGGGCAGCTGACACGATCTGAGAAGCACAGTGTGTTATAAAGTCAAGTGACAGTGAGCAGGAGAAACTTGCTTACAAGCAGGGGCTTCATAAAGTGCAGGTGGGAAGAGCCTCTGGCCTCCTCAGCCCAGGGGGGAGTCCTGTGTTTGTCTCAAAGGCCACAGGAGGGGGGCTGTGGCCAACCCGAGTTTGTGGGGACAGGGAGGCGCAGAGCAAGGTGCCGGGTGGCCCCACTCCAGGAGAGCAGGGGTGCCGAGCCTGTGTGACCTCAAACATTCTATCCAGGCAGCGAGCACGTGCGCCCTAACCAGGAGAGAGGAGCCGTGAGGAGGAGGCAGAGCTCAGCCGGCACAAGCGACACTTGCTGGGACTCCCTGGGTCCAGCTTTCTACAAAATGGAATGACACCAGGTGCTCTGTTTATTTTCTTTTCTTTATTTATTTTTATTTTTTTATAACAGTTTATTTTTACATCATTCTGTACACTTTTCTCTTTCATCTCAATTGTAATCCCCGTGGGTGTCCCATCACCGTTGTTTTATTTTCTAAATAACATATGAGTTCATTTTTACATCATTTTGGGCCTTTTTCCGTCTCAGTCGCCATCCCCTGGGCTTCCCATCACCACAGCACCCTGTGCCATCGCCACAGTCCAGTGCCCTCCCCTGCCCCCACCGTTTTTGCTCCCCTCCCCACTCCACCCCCGTAAAATGCCTCTGGCATACGGCTGTTCATCATTATTATTATTTTCTCCCCTGGCACCAGGTACTCTTAACGGGGACAAGGCAGGCGATGAGGACCAGGGGCGCCCTGGCAGAGAGGGAGAGGGAGGCGGGCGGGCGTCCTGGCCGGGGTTGGCGTCAGTGTGACCCAGCAGGAGAGAGAACCAGTGGCCCTGGCTGGGTCGTGGTGCATCTCCGGCCTCCCGAGAAGTCTGCGTCACGTCCCCTGCCGGGACCAGGCTTTGGTCACTCTTTAGGGACCCCAGTGAGTCCACTCTGTGGTTCCATGGAGAACCGCTGATCCAGGGATACTTGTTAGCTGGATTCTAGCTGCTTGCAGAAAAAGTGGGTTTGACCTGAGGCACACATGGGGGTCCATTAGGAAAAGGTGTCTGCTGATGGAGGGGCTGGAGCCGAGGGGAGCAGCCCTGAGGGAGCTCCGGACCGAACCACAGCGGAGCTGGGACAGCGAGGGAGCGGACCACAGGCCCAGGCCGGCGCTCAGGAGAGCGGGGAGCCCCTCCCGTTTCGTCACGAGCGCCTCTGTGGGAAGACAGGGACGCGCAGCCCAGACCGCTTCTGGACCTTGGCGAGGCCAGAAGCGGGCGGTCACTGCTGCGCCCGCGTGGGCCGACTGCAGCAAGTGACCTTATCTGCGTCCTCCGTCGGGCTGTGACCGCCTGAGCACACCCAGGCGCAGGCCCTGCCCCTGCCCGTGCCCCTAGTGTGTCCCAGTGAGTCTGCGGGTACTGAACAGAGGGTAGAGCTGAGCTGGCCATGAGGGTGCGCGGCCAGGCGGGGCCGGTGGTGGGCAGCCTAGGAAAGGAGCTGGCTCCTCTCCCGTCTCCCCGGGCAGTGGCCCCCACTCTGGGGAAGGAATGAAACTAAGACCCTGTGCTCTCACCACCCCCCGCCCCAGTAGTGAGGAGGCCGCCGCGCCCGCCTGCGGAGGAGGACGGTTCTGCATGCGCGTGGGGACGGACAGACGGATGGACGGACGCTCACCCAGCGGCCCGGCAGCCGGGTGCCTCCAGGGGTCGGCCCAGGCCAGGGGCAAACCCGCCCTCCTCCGGGGTCAGTCCTCCGTGGTGCCGCGGCCCCAGAACCAGGGCCCGAGGGTAGGGCAGAAGCTGTCCCCAGGGGCGGGCAGGCAGCACCTCCTGGGTGCCTGGGAGAGACCCGGCAGCTGCTCTCAAAGGCCTGAGGCCCGGGCAGCGTTTTCTCCGTGGTTCCAGCGCCAGAGCTGGGGCTAGCCGGAGCAGAGGCAGACCTGGGCTCAGCCAGCCAAGAAGGCCTCGCTGGAGCAGCGCCTGGGGGACTGCGCTCCCAGTGGCCGGCCAGCGGCAGGGTGACCGCCTGGGGGTGGGGCTGGGGCACGCCTTGAGTGAGGGCCGTACCCACGGGTGGACTTGGACGGCTCAAAATGCAGCGGCGTCTTCACGGTGCTTTCCACATCCAGCTCGTCCTGCCAGTCCAGTTCCCGCCTGCCTCGCTTGCAGCTGGAGCAAGGGAGGGGTCCCCCGGGAGCCGGCTGCACCCCCGCCCCTCCTCCGCGCCCGCCTTGCCCACTGTCCTCCAGAGTCTGACTTTTAAAGTACAGTTATCGCGGACACTGGGCAGGGGTGCCGGAGGGTGGGGGAGCCGGGACAGAGAGTTACAGGGAGCGAGCACTGAGCGAGTTTCTGACCTTGGGTGCTGATGTGCCAGGAAGAGCAGCCTCCCCCACCGCTCGTCCACTCTAGGGTGCTCCGGATCTTCCTTCTCCTTTTCAGAGGAAAATGAATTTGGGGGGGGGTGGGGGAACTGGGAATTATTCCTCTGCATTCTCGCTGCATTTCTTTAAACATCGGGGCTGAAGTTCTCCTCAGACTCAGCATTTCCTCAATGAGGATAAGGGGACCCCGGAGACAGTACCGTCCAGGCCGTCAGTGTCCAGATGGCAGAAACCAAATGCTGGGGACCTGGGCCGAGTCACCCAGGGCCAGGGCAGGGCTGAGGCTGTGGGGGAATTCCAGGTTGCTGCACCCCAGGATCCGTCTTTCCACCCGGGCCTAGGAGCTCCTTCCTGAAAGGGGGGGTCCTCGTGACCCCTGGAGCTCGGGCAGCCAGAGATAGCGCCCCAACTCCACCTTGTAAGTTGTGAACAGGAAAACTTGACCCCTGGACACGCCACCCCCTCTAGGCCCTTCCCTTACATCTCTTTCTTTGTACTGAGGTAACCTTGTTCACAACACTGCACAGGTTTCAGGGGCCTGGCACCTGTACCTGTCCCCCACACCTGCCACCAGATACCCAGTCACCACCCACCACCGGCCCGTCCACTCTCAGTTCTCTCTCTCTCTCCTCCCGTCTAATAGCTGCGATTCTCTTGTCAGTCTAAGGTTCGGTCTTGATTTTGTCTTGTCTTTCAATTTCTCTTTTCTTTGTAACCTACATGTGGGTGAAATCTATGGCATTTATCTTTCTCCTCACTGATTTCACTAAACCTAACCACCTCCAGGCCCATTCATGTTGTCACAAATGGCACAAGCCTGTCTTTTTCATAGCCGAGTAGTATTCTACCACATCCACGAATCCCGTCTTTATCTGTTCATCCATCATTGGGTGCTGGGGTTCTTCCAAAGCTTGTGAATGGTGCTGCAGCAAACTTGGGGGGCGTGCGCCCTGCCAAAGCAGTGTTTTCCTGTGCCTCTGGGAAGTGCCCAGAAGTGGGGCTGCTGGGTCATACGGTAATTGTGTTTTCAACCTTTTCAGGAACCTCCACAGTGTTTCCCACTGTCATTGTTCCCACCAACAGTTGGGGAGCAGGCGGGGTCTCCTTTCCTCTGCGTCCCGGCCAGCACTTAGTACTTCTGGGTATTTCGACAATCGCCACTCTAACCCTGTGCGTGAGATCTCATGGCCGTGTCCCCTGCATTTCCCTGGTGAGGACTGGGCCAACGCACCCTTCCCTGGGGCTTTTGACGTTGCCACCCCCACCTAGCAGTGTCTGCTACAGGCCCATCTCACCCCACTTCAGTACTCAAACGTCTTGAGGGTCCAGAGTGGTGGACTCAGCTCCCTCCCCAAGAAGTAGTACTGGGGGGGGGGGCTTCTGGGTTGGTCAGAAAGGAGTCCAGAAACGAATGTGTCCCCCTCACTCCCTATTCAGAGACAAAAACCTGGGGTGGGGACGGGGTGGTGCATCATTTTCAAAGCTCGTGCAAAATGAAAATGCTGGGCACCTTGTTTTAGAACCATGGAGAATTTCAAGCCAGCCGCAGGCAGCCACAAACAGGATGTCAAACTAGCAGGGGTCCCCCACTACCCGGGAGACTGCACCCAAAGTGGACAGCGGAGTTGCTCACAGGCCATGAATCACGAGGTCAGGGGGCGTCTGATTCCCAGATGTAGCGCTGGGGATCTCCCTGCAAACGCGTCTGTTCCCCGTGGCGAAGCAGGACGGCAGGGTGCCGGCGGGGACCGGGATGGAAGGCGCATACGTGTGTGCCCTCTCTCCTGGAGCAAGAGGGACCTCTCCATCCCTGCCTCCTCATTTCAGGTACTGACAGTAAAGGGACACGAGAGTGACGCATGTTGAATGTGAAAGATTAACAGAGCAGCGAGCTGTGCCGTTTTATTTTGGCCAGGAGCCCAGGGGACCCCTCCAAGTGTGGAGAGTCGCGAGCACGTAGCCCAGGTGCTCCCCTCGCTCTCGCTCGGGCGCCGCCCCCAGCTTGGAGCCCCAGGGAACCGGGAGCCGAGTGGGTAGCACCCCAGGGCTCCCCGAGCCAAGGCCTTCCGCAGTGCCCAGGCGCCCCCGCGCGCCCGACGCGGGACCTGCACCGGAACGCGCGCCCCTCCCGCGAGGCTTCCAGAAAGCTCCCGGTGCATTTCATGGCATTCTTGGGGCGTGAGTCATGCAGGTTTGCAGCCAGCCCCCAAGGGGGTGTATACTACGCTCTGTGCTATAAATACAGGCGCGCTCCGGTCGCTGGTGCGGCGTAGCCAGCGGGAGCGCACCGGCCCGGGTGCAGCGAAACGGGAAACGGTGAGCGGTCCCCACCTTCCCTCCCTCTACGCACTGACGGGATGGGGGGAGGGCAGGGGCGGGGGCGGCCGACCACCGGGCCACTCGGGCTGGCCTGGCCTGGCCAGCTGCCTTCCCATGGAGTCCCTGAGCCGGGAAGGGAGGCTCCGCTGTTGACCGCAGCCGAGCCCGCAAATGCTGGAAATTGCTGAGGGAGCGCGCAGGCTGCGGCCGCCCAGTGCGCTTCAGCTCCAAGCGCGAGTCTGCCGGGCACATAGGACAGGTGTCATGATGCTTCGGTGCAAATACCGGGAAGGAACTGGAAAGCTGGAGCCTGGGGCAGGGGGCGGCTGCCGTAGCCGCTTCCTGCGGCCTCCCCCTTCTCCCTCCCTCCCCCACAGAGGTGTGGACCTGGAGGTGGGGGTGGGGAGCAGCAGGGGGCTGGAGCAGCCCGAGGAGGTCAGGTGTTGAGTCATCGTGTTTACCCTGCATCCAGTCCCCTGGATGGCGCGGTCCTCAGTGAGATGTCCTGGCTGAGCATATGTTGCAACCTCTTAAATCCTACTCTGGTGCTTCCCAAGCACGGGCCCATCGGAGGGAGAAAAGTCACCCCAGACAGCTCATCCCCCCTCTCTTATAGATGATAAGCGAGGCCTGGGGAGGCTTGGGGCTGTCTCCAAAGAAACAGCAGGTGAGGACCATGACTGGGATCAGACTTCTCGGATGTCTGGAGCTAGAGGGGAGAAGCGCAGCGGCACCATCATCAGTTATTATTCTTTTAAAGAGAGGAGTTAGGAGTGTAAACGCAAGCGCAGCCGCCGTGAATTAAAGGATTCTGGTGCGTGTTGGTTGTGATGGGGGGAAGCTGCAGCCCAGCCCGGGGGAGGGGCGACAGATGCATCAGAAAATGGACCCTGCAGCCAGGAAGGTGCTTTGAAGCTAGGCGAGACCATGGGGTAAAGAATCTGATCGCGTGAAGGTGCAGTCAAGTGAAGGAAATAGCCCACGGGTCCAGGCTGGGACTTACAGGTGCATCACGGGTTTCCTCATTTCTCTGGCCCAGTCCCCATGTCTGGGGAGGCCCCTGTGCTCTGCTGGCTCAGGTGTCCCCTGCCCCCAGGTGACCCTGCACTAAGGTTAAGCCTGGGGGGGGTGTGTGTGTGGGGGTGGAGAGGCCTCGCTGTGGGCAGCAGGCAGGGGCCTTGGCCCGCTGGGTCTCGCGGCACATGGTGGGCGGGGCGCCAGCCAGGAGGGACAGCGGGGCCAGCCAGCCCAGAGGGACGCAGCCAGCCAGTGTCCTTGGACCGCAGTGTCCGGATCGCCCGTGGTGGTAGAGCAGGCTCTGAATCGGAAGCAGCATCACAACTCGGGGTGTCTGGGCGCTGAGTGTAGGCGGCCATTTTACCGAGGCCAAGCTGAGCCTTCTGGGGGGGGGGGCCGGAATCTGTGCCCCGTTTCAGCCCTCTGTCCCCTCCCCCGCCCCCTGCAGGTAAGCGAATGCCCACCCCTGTCCCTAGGGCAGATTCTGCAGAAGCCAGAACTCGCTGCCATGCTGCAAAGGCCTTGTGGGTGGAACCTTTACCTCTGTGGGCTCACGGCAGATCAGTACACAGACAGAGCCCCTGGGGTTCAGAGGTTTCAGGGGGTCGCAGTCCCCAGAACTCTGAGGCTTGGGAGGGCTCGGGTCTCACCCTGGGGCTGACACCAGCTTGCTGTCGCCTTGGGGACCCCCATCCCTACATCCCTACTGAGGGAGTGGGAAGGGCAGGGGAGTGAGCTGTTCCCAAGTGCTGGATGACCGGCCTGGGGCGCCCTGCCTGGGGTGCCCTGCCCTGGAGCTGGGTTTCTGTGCGCTCAGCCCCCATCTGTGTGCGTGTGCTTCAGGGCCCGATGCTGATGTCTAAGCCCAGCTCCAGGCTCTTGTATGGGTAGTTCTGAGGTGACTCTGTGGGCGACGCGGGCTCTGTCCCTGCCCGAGGCGTTTCAGGCCCCAGTGAGCAGCCAGAGCCTGGGGGAGGCCGGCTTCCCATCTGGCTGGGAGGCCGTGAGTCTTCTCGCCCTCAGCGTGGGAACCACAGCTCTGCTCAGCGGGGGACTTTGCAGGGAAGGTCTCTGCCTGTTCTACAAGTGGGCAGCAGGGCCTCGGAGCTCAGGGCAGGACGAGGGGTCCCCTCCTGGCCCCTCTGAGGCCCGGGTGAGCACAATTTCAGGGTGGGGGGCCCACCTCTCCCTTCTGCTATGGGAAGTGGGTGAATGCAGATCAGGCTGCTGGTGGAAGAGGCTGGGGCCGGTGGGGGATGCAGGGATTCTGTTTTATGCAACAACTCAGCTTCTGGGAAAGGGCCATTGTGTAAGACCTGGCAGAGGCCTGGTCCCTGGACTCCAGGCAGCTGGCCGTGGTGCAGGGCACCCAACCTTGGCAGGGCGCCCTGTGTTGGCTGCGAAAGGGGCCTTGGCAGAGCAGAGGCACGTCCTGCCAGAGGGGTGTCTAGAGGGCTGCTCCATGGGCCCTGAAACCCTCTGACTCTTCCCTCCTTGCTAGCCTTGGGTGGTCCCCCTCTCCGCTTTCCTCTTACCCCCCCCACCCCGGCTCACATCTCACACTAGGGGTGACCCACCACTGGGGTTTCCCTTTGTGACCCAGAGGGTCGACTGTCCTAGCTTCAGGGGTGTGGCGACTCAGGGGAAACGTGCTGTGATCGATTGGTCATGCCTGCAGTGGACAGGGCAGGGTGAGCCAGCACACAGTAGGGGTTTGCCAGCCCTGGGTGCCATCTCCACTTTCGGGGAGCAGGCAGGGTGAATGATCCCAGAGCGTCCAGGTTCCCAGGACATAGGGGTCAGGTGCATCTCCCAGCAGAGGGGCTAGCACATGGCCAGGCCTGTGCAGGCCCTGGAAGGCCGCTGGGGCTGGGGCTGGTGGGGACGCAGCTGCCCGCTAGCTGTTTCCATGACAGCCTCCTGTTCTCTGCAAACAGAGGCGTGCTAAGATTCCAGAATTGAGGAGGCGAGATGAAGACTCTCCTGCTGCTGCTGGGGCTGGTGCTGAGCTGGGAGAATGGGCAGGTCCTGGGAGCCAAGGACATCCAGGACAAGGAGCTCCAGGGTGAGTGGACCGGACGCCTGCTCTCAGGCGGGCCTCCGGTTAAAGCGCCGCCCTGTGCTTCACCACAGTGGGCTTGATGGTGGGCGCCCACACGTCCGCTGCAGGCCTGCTGGGCTGGGCCCCGGGGGCCAGGCTGCTCCCAGCAGGTGCAGGCAGCCCTGAGCCTGCCTGCTGCTGCCCCTGCGCTCAGCCCAGTGCCCACAGGCCCTCACGGAGGCTCCCGAGCTGGGCCATTCTGCCCTCTGCGCAGACCCCCTCTGATTTCCCATAGTGCTTACTGCACACGTCCTCCATCTCTCTACCCCCAAAGCACGTATTCTCTGCAAGGAAGGGGAAATACCAGGAAGATGAGGCCGGTCGTGCTGTGCCCAGCGGGCGTCCCCCTTCTGGGCCTCTCCTTCCTCCTGCTGACCAGCTCTGCGGGAAGTGTGTGACCAGCCCCACCCGGGGCTGCATCTTGACCGCACTGTCTACTCTTTTCTCACTTGTGCACAGTGGGGTGGGGGCATGGAATATTCCGGAAAGTGCGCTGGAGCCTGGGGCTGGCCCGGGCCCGGCACAGAGGTGCGGCAGTTCCTCCTTCTCACGCCCGTCCACGTGGTGTGCTGTGACCCGTCCCCTCAAGGACAGTGCACAGGCTTATCTCCCTGTCCTCCTGGCACTGTGCTTGGGGACAAAGGAGAGGAGGGTTCTGGAACCGAATTCTACAAAGACCTGTGTCCGAAAGAATGCCCTTTTGTGCTGGGGCTATTGTTTTCCCCGCTCGCCAGCCACTCTGGGCTCAGGTCGTTTGCTTTCGGGAGCAGCGGGGGCAGCGTGGGGTTTGCACGCTGAGCCCTGGGGTAGGGACCTGTGTTGGGGCAAAGCTGGCGCCCCGAGGCACCCCCTCCCAGCTGCCCTGGCCCCCCGGCCTGTCAAGTGTTCCAGCTGATTCCAGACGTGTGTCCCCGGGGCCATCTCTCCCGTGGCCTCATTCTCCCTCCCTGCCCTTCTCTGGCAGAAATGTCCACGCAGGGGAGCAAGTACATTAATAAGGAGATAAAAAATGCCCTCAAGGGGGTGAAACAGATCAAGACGCTCATAGACCAAACCAACGAGGAGCGGAAATCGCTGCTGGTCAGCCTGGAGGAAGTCAAGAAGAAGAAAGAGGTGAGAGACCCCGTGCCCGCTCCCACCACCAGCACAGCCAGGGGTGTCTGGCAGCGTTGCCGTGGTGATCTGCCCTCCGCCCAGGGCTGTGGCAGCTGGCATCGGGGTGCCGGTTAAGAAACAGGGAGGTTTATTTGCTCTTGAAAGCTGCCCAGGCTGGGGGTCTTGGATCTGGTTTCGTCAGGAGCCTGGCCAGGGGCTGCTGCCAGGGGCCTTCAGTAGGTCTTCTGGACCCTGGCTGCAGCGGGGTGGAGGGCTCTGGAGGGCCTGTGGGAACGGCTGGCACCCCCCTTCGGGAAGCTTCTCTCGGAGGCGGTCAAGGCAGGTACCACTGTCTCGCTCCGGGTCTTTGTAGAGTTCGGGGTCACCGCTCCTGCCACCACCGGGTGTGCTTGGAGGGAGTGGTACTTAGTGAGACGCATCAGCTGGAGAAGGACAAGCACCATGTGACTTCACATCTATGTGGAATGTAGAGAAAAGGAACCAACAGATGAACTAAAGGAAATAAAAATAAACCTTTGGGCTGTACGGCCAGTGACTGTTCCTGGGCAGGACGTGGGGCTGGGGTGGGTTGTTGGGGAAAAAAGGATCGATGTGGCCTGAATGGCACGTACACAGGGGCTGATCTCCACAATGCGCCCCTAAAACTTACACATCACCATGCAGTGTGACTTCGAAAAAAAGGAACGAGAAGCTCGGAAGCCCGGAGGCAAGTGGCTTAGGAGCCGCCTGCGAGACTCAGCAGAGCCATCGTTCCACCAGCAGCTTATTTTTAAAAATCTCCGGTCCCCTTAGGGAGCAAACAAACCCAATCTTCCTCCTCTCACC